CCTTAGTGTGGGTTATGAGTTGTTATACTGAGTGTGGGTAATATGTGTGGGTTGTAAGTGTTATAATGAGTGTGGGTTATATGTTGTTGTAGATGTACTTTGTGTGGGTAATATGTGTTATACATAGTGTGGGTTATAAGTCGTTATCCTTAGTGTGGGTTATGAGTTGTTGTACATGTACTTTGTGTGGGTAATATGTGTTGTTAAACTAAGTGTGGGCTATAAGACCTAAAAAAAAATGTTGTGGTTCCAATTACCCGACCGACCTTTGAATTCTGGTGCCGACCCTAATTTTTTTAGAGGTATGAATAAAATAAGCTTTCAGATACCATTGTTTTTGCCTGGCACTAACGGACATTGGTCATTCTGATAAAAAAAGTCGACATGATGGCCGCAAGCTTGATTGAATAAACAATTACACATTGATAAATGTGTTATTAGTTTGTACTTTACTTCTAAAAAAAATGTTAAAACCTACCCACCCTAAATTTTAAAGAGGATGTCGGAACCACAACATGTTTTGTGTTTGGCCTAAGTTGTGTATATCTCCCCACTCAGTTGCTGCAGTACTTACACAACCAGAAGATACAGACAGGAGTTACTGATATGCTGCTGAAGCTGTACAACCCCATCCTGTGGAGAGGTACCCACATCCTTGCTCAATGTTGTGGCTAAGTTTAAATTCAACATCCTTGAAGGATGGATCACATCTTATGAGATGAACTTGTAGCTAAGTTTAAATTGTAAAGCAATCCCTTGAAGGATGCATTATCAATATTCAGCATCTGGAGGTGCTCAGATGAACATCCTTGAAGTAGCATCATTACTGGTGTCCCATTCATTACTGTGTGTAAATATTCCAGTAAACATGGGACTCACATATGTTGGGATTGAACCGGGTCTTGTATGCACAACTTGACATATAGCATCAGAGGTACTGGGAAGGTTACACAGGGATGCACCTGACTATTCCTTCAGCTGGAGGTATTTGGGCTCCTGTAAGACGTATCCTAACGTTAAGTAGAATTTCATGTTTTCAGGGGGTTGTCAATTGTTTTCACTTATTCTGCTAGTAAATGTCATACGTTAATTTGAAACTGGTTATGCCTTACAAGAATGTAAGCAATACAAACTCTTAATCCAGAAATATTTTCCCATAAACAAAATTGATTGTAACAACATTTCCTTTGTCAGCTTAATGCTGCATGAGACACCCTGTATACAGTTTAATAATGATTTGGGTCTTTGTCCCTGTAGGTACCTAACTGTGACGTGAGGGCAAATGCTACCTTCTTACTGTGTGATGTGTTCCCACTTACCTGCCCCATACAGAAGGATGAACTGATCAACAGACAGTGTGAAGCTTTGCTGGTAAGTGACCAACAAAGGGGGAGAATTAGATGTTCAGAATTAAGGATAATTGGTTCCTTGAGAAGTTTTATCAAAGGACCATCTTTGATCTTTAAACAGTGTGCAGTTTGCTTCCTGTTTTAGTCCATAATAATCTGTATGAATGCTCCTCAAAATGCATTCCTGTGGCTCGACATATCGCTGTGGAAGGTGTGTGTCGCATACTGTAGAACCGTGTTGTATAACTAACTTGTTCCTCTACAGACGGCCCTGTATGATGACTACCCGTGGTTTTGGCGTATGGCTGTGGAAGGTGTGTGTAACATCCTGTAGAACCCTGTTGTATAACTAACTTGTTCCCTACAGACGGCCCTGTACGATGACTACCCTGTGGCTTGGCGTATAGCTGTGGAAGGTGTGTGTCACATCCTGTAGAACTGTGTTGTATAACTAACTTGTTCCCCTACAGACTGCCCTCTATGATGACTACCCTGTGGCTTGGCGTATCGCTGTGGAAGGTGTGTGTGTCATCCTGTAGAACCCTGTTCTATAACTAACTTGTTCCCCTACAGACAGCCCTGTAATGATGACTACCCATGGCTAACGGCATTATGACAGCTGTGGAAGGTGTGTGTCACATCCTGTAGAGAACCATGTTCTATAACTAACTTGTTCCCCTACAGACTGCCCTCTATGATGACTACCCCGTGCCTCGGCGTATAGCTGTGGAAGGTGTGTATCGCATCCTGTAGAACCCTGTTGTATAACTAACTTGTTCCCCTACAGACGGCCCTGTACGATGACTACCCTGTGGCTCGGCGTATCGCTGTGGAAGGTGTGTGTCGCATCATGTCCAGCTACTGGGAGCTCCTGCCCAACCTCACCATCAAGATGTTCATCACCAAGCTGCTCCAGGACCATCTCAATGATGCCAACTCTGCTGAAGTCCGACTTAGTGTAGTTGGTTGAGTGTCACAATGGCCATTAGCATCATCAAGGAACAGTTCCCATGGAGACTGCAGATTAGTATAAACCCCAGCACCCTTGCTTTTAGTACAAGGTGACTTAATGGATTGGGTGCCTACCGATTACATTCAAAGGCATGGAATGCTCATGGTTATTAATCACTAAGAATTTGGCCCAGACTTACTTGTTACATCCCTCAGTTCAGTGGCTGGCATACTGCTTCACTTTGCCTTTATCAACAAATTCTATTTGTTCAGCCTTGGAAGATAATGGAAGCCTGCCATGTTTATATACAATGGGGTTAACTCTAAATTCTTTTTGTGTCCTCTACTGACAGGGTTATATATACTATAGATATGTACTCTTCAGAGTTATATATACTAATTTTAATCTTATCTATCTCCGTCTTGTACTCTTTCTCTTCAATTCGACCTGCTGAGTGGAAACGAACTGCCAATAAAATCCTAGGCCTCTTTTGTCCATTCGCCCGTGTATCCATGCTGCCTCCTTATAAGGACGCCTGGGGTAACTGCTGGGAAGCATGGAGCTACCTGCTCACGTGACCACCCCTCCCTAGTCTTCCCCTTTCTTGTCGCACTGATGGTGTGGACGTATGCTGCAAACTGTAAGATTTTCTGAATTCTCTTCCATTCCTTTCAAGATGGGAAACTGACAATTCCTCAAGAAAGAGGAAGTTTTGCACACAATGCAAAATGAAGTTTTCAACTGCGGACCCCCATACGTCTTGTGTTGATTGTGTGGGGTTTTGCACCTGGGCACGGTGTTGTGACCAATGTAAACACCTAAATGACTAGGCTTTCGCGGCTTACAAGAGGGTAAGCTCCTATCGTCTCGCTGAGAGGGACTCCGGGAAGTACTCTTTGTCATCTCCTGCGCCCGAATGAGACGTCATCTGTCCATTCTAATGCATCTCGTGTTGTTGTGATGGATCAGTCATCGAATCTGGAGAAGACGTCCAATTCACAAGATCTCAAGACCAGCATTTTGTCTGCTCATCCGGCAAACTCCCCTACTGATTTGGGTGAATCCATGCGTGAAGGATGTCTTGCCAGTCCCTGGTCAGTCTCATTTGACGAATCAGTACTGATTTACTGCCTCTTCATTCTCCTCTCCCTCATGCTCATCCGGAGAACATTAGTGATTCGTCCAATCAAGTTAGTTCTCCTAATTTCCAGTCATCTGGGATCACTCCTGGTGTGCCGAATTTTGCTGCTTGAGGGATGACTCCCATTTGTCTCTCGACCTGATGGAGTTAAATCGCACGGCTCTCATTCAACAGATCATCCCTGTTTGACCGAATGCGCCATGGTTCTTCAGATCCTGCTAGCGCTACGGGTTGCCATGGATTAACTTTGCCTACTCATCTTAGGCCGTCTATTGCTATGACCTTCACAGACTCTGCACCTCACGGGCACTCTGGCTCCAGCGGCATGACCTCAGATTATTCGGGCGTCATGGGACTCCTCTCAGGACAACCCAACTCGTCTGTGCCCCAATTTAGATATGATGATTCGTGCGATCACAGCCGCCTGGTCTCACATGCAGCCACCTACCCATTCGACGTATGTAGCTCCTAGTTCGGCAGATGAACGCCCATGTGTTTCGTCGCATCCTTAAGGCGCTGTCACCCGTTCGTTCCACTGAACCGTCTTCGCCTGGCTACTTGGACGAAGTCTCTACCCCGGAGGGTAGTTTCGATATGGTGGAGCCTGCTCATTTTTTGGCTTGGATCGTAGATAAGCTGCATCTACCAAGGAGTACATCTGTGAATGACTTACCCAGCTCCTATACTATTCTGAATTGGGATGTGGCCTCAATCACCTTTCTGCCTAGAGCCTGCATATCTCAGATGACGACTTCATTGGATGATGCATTTAGAAGTCTGAAACAGCTTAAGGACGGATTTACTTCACTGAGGTTCTTATCACTTACGCATTCTCATGGTTTCTCCAAGCTCGTGGTAGAGCCGCTGGTTGACGAGGATATCGGCACCATGTTCTGACCCTTCCTAATCGAGGATCATGAGTTAGCTCACCTGGACACTGCCACAGCCTGCAGAGCCGATGTCCTTTTGGAGGCACTCTACGACTCTTTGAACACACACACACACACACAGAGGCGCTTTTGGCGATCCGAGACAGTCTTTTCTTCACATGCGAGACCTCTCTCTTACTGACGTCCAGGGACTTATGCAGTTTGGACCCTTCTGCTTGGACAGCAGTTGTCATCAGCCCAACAACGCAGATGAGGGACTTGTTCAGCGTGCGGTTCATTGCTTCCTTGTACTTATTGCACAAAAGTCTGAACTTTATGTCTCTCTTTTGTTCTTTTTCCTTATGGGTATAGATCTACCTCTCCTGGTTCGAAACTAGGGCTTTGGAGTACGGCCACAGAGCGTCGCTTCATCATAGAGTTTGAGGCACAGTCTTGTACTCGCAGAGGTGATCACCATTCCCGCTTACTGACCTCTACTCTTCGGAGCAATATCGTCAGAGAAGTATGTCCTTCCCGAATTCCAGTGGTTTTCGTTTCGTTCTGCTCCTAATTAAGTTGCTGGACACATCCTTAACTAATTCACTGAGGTTCTTATCACTTACGCATTCTCATGGTTTCCCCAAGCTCGTGGTAGAGCCGCTGGTTGACGAGGATATCGGCACCATGTGCTTTCGGAGTCGTTTGCACATTCACCTCAGTGCAATGGTCTTTGCGGGGATGGTCTCGAAACGGGCTGGCCAGATTAAGGTCGAAAGGCTTTATTTAACTGGGGCCTTCTGTAAATCGTGACAAGTTTCGCTGGTCAGTTGGAACGGATTGGACTAATTAAGTTGTAAACAGTTGCGTTAATCCGAATGATTGAAGTTGACCGCGCTGCTGACTGGTCCACCCAAAGTGACACGTTGTTTGTTTAGCGACTCATCCATCCTTTATCATAAAGTGATAGATGTGTGAAGCCCATTTCTGGTGTCCCCCGCCGTGATGTTGCTGGAATATTGCTAAAAGCGGCGTAAAACCAAACTCAGTCAGTCAGTCAGTCATAAGTGATAGGGAAATTTCGACGACCACGCTGTTTTGGGAAAGACTTCAATCCAGAACTATATGCTCGGTACCGTTTCAACACGAATTAAAATTATAAATAATTTTTCGCAATGTTATTGAAAACAACGATTCTCGGACACATGCTTCGGCAGCGGGTCAACAATAACATTGTCAAAGAGCAAAGTAACGATGTTTCGAGGAATTCATTAAATAGATTGAATAAACTAATGAATAAAATCAACAAAATATATACATGAAGCATTTTTGTCACAGGTCATAACCTAGCGATCGTCCAATAAGTTCCATAATTTCGCATTATAGGTAGCGATTTCTTGCTTAATATGTTCAAAATAGCATTATTTTACCCAAAACTTTTCGTCTAAATCTAAAAGTTTTTAGTTTTGCGAGGGCACGGTATCCATTGCCGTAATATGATTGGCTGCCTTAGGTCCGTGTCTGATTTTTGACCAATCCGATTATTATAGCAGACTGTAGCGAAAAATCGTCATTAGAAACCAATTTTATCCAATAAAATGGCTTCTTACAGCTGTGAAAATACTCTTGGCAAGGGTTCAGTGATGTTGTTGATGTTCAGAGCTTTCAAGCGATACCGACATCAAGCGATTAAGCCTCCATATGTTATTCATCACGCGGCCCAGCGGAGGTATTTTCCGTTGTTATGTCATGTTACCGGCGGAAAGCCACAGATATCGGAAATAGGCAACCATACACATTATTTAGAAATCTTTTTATAATGATTTTCTGATGACGTAAAAATGAAAATATAAAAGAAAAAGGCACGGGCATGTTATGACATGTCACAAATGGAAAAAAATCGCCATAGTTTTTGCTTCTTTCGTGATTTATCTAGACATTATAAATGTAAGCTTGCATTTTCATTCAAAAATAATTTTATTTAAGTTGTAGTTGTATTATTTGAATAACATTATATCAAGGGGAAGTAACTCGGTGCATATACTGTGGTTTCAGCAGTACGAACGTTTCACTATCCGAACGTTTTTCTTAAAAAACCAAAGTGTTCGTATTAACGAGGTCTGACTGTACTATGTGTCCTCCACTAAGATGGTTAGATATACTATGTGTCTTACACTAAGATGGTTAGATATACTATGTGTCCTCCACTAAGATGCTTACATATACTATGTGTCCTCCTCTGGCAGGGTTAGATATACTATGTGTCCTCCACTAAGATGGTTAGATATACTATGTGTCCTCCACTAAGATGGTTAGATATACTATGTGTCCTCCACTAAGATGGTTAGAAATACTATGTGTCCTCCTCTAAGATGCTTACATATACTATGTGTCCTCCACTAAGATGCTTTCATATACTATGTGTCCTCCTCTGGCAGGGTTAGATATACTATGTGTCCTCACTAAGATGGTTAGAAATACTATGTGTCCTCCACTAAGATGGTTAGAAATACTATGTGTCCTCCACTAAGATGGTTAGAAATACTATGTGTCCTCCTCTGGCAGGGTAAGATATACCATGTGTCCTACACTAACAAGGTTAGATATACTATGTGCCATCCACTAAGATGGTTAGATATACTATATGTCCTCCTCTGGCAGGGTTAGATATACTATGTGTCCTCCACTGACAAGGTTAAATATACTGTGTGCCATCCACTAAGATGGTTAGAAATACTATGTGTCCTTCACTAAGATGGTTAGAAATACTATGTGTCCTCCACTAAGATGGTTAGATGTACTATGTGTCCTTCACTAAGATGGTTAGAAATACTATGTGTCCTCCACTAAGATGGTTAGATGTACTATGTGTCCTCGACTAAGATGGTTAGATGTACTATGTGTCCTTCACTAAGATGGTTAGAAATACTATGTGTCCTCCACTAAGATGGTTAGATATACTATGTGTCCTTCACTAAGATGGTTAGAAATACTATGTGTCCTCCACTAAGATGGTTAGATATACTATGTGTCCTCCACTAAGATGGTTAGATATACTATGTGTCCTCCACTAAGATGGTTAGATATACTATGTGTCCTCCATTTAGATGGTTAGATATATTATGTGCCCTCCACTAAGATGGTTAGATATATTATGTGTCCTTTGAAATACTATGTCCACTAACAGGGATATATAATGTCCATTGACAGGGTCTGACTGATCTCCTGGACAACCATCTGTGTCACCCACTGCTGAAGCAGGTGCTGCCCACAATGAGAGACCATGTCCATGACATGTCCGAGTCTGTCAGGAAAGCCATGATGGACCTTCTTCTCAAGGTCAAGAAAATCCGAGCAATCAAGGTATACATACTGCTTCCATACTACACAACTTATATACTTATATACATGGATATTTCTTAATATCACATACAGCACAGTATTAGCTGGACACAAGTAAACTGTAATCCAGACAACTGAGAATGTGTATTGCGCGGCAATCTACATGTAATGGTATGTTGTCAAAATATGTGTATTTCATTGGTTTTATCAAATGTATTAAAATCTTCCTAGCAGAGGTAATGACATGGTTGATACATGTCATTATATCCCAATAGCATAGATCAATGCTCACTGGATCACTGGATTTTCTGGTCCAGGCTTGAATGTTTACAGACTACCATCCTGTAGCTTGACAAATTCTGTGTACAGTATGATGTCAATTATTCTGTTAAAACTAGTCTATTAATGTTAAAGTTAGGTCTTGAGAAGGACTTTTGAGATGACTTATTTTGTAAACTGATGTCCATCCTTTGTCCATCCTGTAGTTCTGGACGATCGTGCCAGTGGAGCACCTGCTAGCGAGACTGAAGGAGGACTCTACTGCTGTGTGTAAGAAGATCGTCAAGCTCCTCATCAACAGTTACATGCCGCTGGAACAAACCACAGAGGAGAAGATTTCCCGGCTCACTCACCTCATCAAGGAGGACGCAGGGGCAGCCAGGAAGTTCTTCCAGTATGCACCCACTGAACTCAAGTTTGAGGAATCAGGTACCCAAGAATCTTACACTTACCTGACCCTCCTGTCTGTACCTGTTCTATTGTTTCAGTGAAGTACCTGACTCCACTGTCTAGCTGTTCTATTGTTTCAGTGAAGTACCTGACTTCACTGTCTACCTGTTCTATTGTTTCAGTGAAGTACCTGACTCCACTGTCTACCTGTTCTATTGTTTCAGTGAAGTACCTGGAAATTCATACCTGTTCTATTGTTTCAGTGAAGTACCTCCTGACTCCACTGTCTACCTGTCCTATTGTTTCAGTGAAGTACCTGACTCCACTGTCTACCTGTCCTATTGTTTCAGTGAAGTACCTGACTCCACTGTCTACCTTTCTTATTGTTTCAGTGAAGTACCTGACTCCACTGTCTACCTGTTCTATTGTTTCAGTGAAGTACCTGACTCCACTGTCTACCTGTTCTATCGTTTCAGTGAAGTACCTGACCCCACTGTCTACCTGTTCTATTGTTTCAGTGGAAGTATCTGACTCTACTGTCTACCTGTTCTATTGTTTCAGTGAAGTACCTGACCCCTGTTCTACTGTCGACCTGTTCCTATTGTTTCAGTGAAGTACCTGACTCTACTGACCTCTTCTATTGTTTCAGTGAAGTACCTGACTCTACTGTCTACCTGTTCTATTGTTTCAGTGAAGTACCTGACTCTACTGTCTACCTGTTCTATTGTTTCAGTGAAGTACCTGACCCCACTGTCTACCTGTTCTATTGTTTCAGTGAAGTACCTGACTCTACTGTCTACCTGTTCTATTGTTTCAGTGAAGTACCTGACTCCACTGTGTCACCTGTCTACCTGTTCTATTGTTTCAGTGAAGTATCTGACTCTACTGTCTACCTGTTCTATTGTTTCAGTGAAGTACCTGACTCTACTGTCTAGCTGTTCTATTGTTTCAGTGAAGTACCTGACTCCACTGTCTACCTGTCCTATTGTTTCAGTGAAGTACCTGACTCCACTGTCTACCTGTTCTATTGTTTCAGTGAAGTACCTGACTCCACTGTCTACCTGTTCTATTGTTTCAGTGAAGTACCTGACTCCACTGTCTACCTGTTCTATTGTTTCAGTGAAGTACCTGACCCCACTGTCTACCTGTTCTATTGTTTCAGTGAAGTACCTGACTCTACTGTCTACCTGTTCTATTGTTTCAGTGAAGTACCTGACCCCACTGTCTACCTGTTCTATTGTTTCAGTGAAGTACCTGACTCTACTGTCTACCTGTTCTATTGTTTCAGTGAAGTACCTGACTCTACTGTCTACCTGTTCTATTGTTTCAGTGAAGTACCTGACTCTACTGTCTACCTGTTCTATTGTTTCAGTGAAGTACCTGACCCCACTGTCTACCTGTTCTATTGTTTCAGTGAAGTACCTGACTCTACTGTCTACCTGTTCTATTGTTTCAGTGAAGTACCTGACCCACTGTCTACCTGTTCTATTGTTTCAGTGAAGTTATCTGACTCTACTGTCTACCTGTTCTATTGTTTCAGTGAAGTTGACTCTACTGTCTAGTTCTATTGTTTCAAGTACCTGACTCCACTGTCTACCTGTTCTATTGTTTCAGTGAAGTGTCTACCTGTGTCTACCTGTTCTATTGTTTCAGTGAAGTGCCTGACCTCCTATTGTCTACCTGTTCTATTGTTTCAGTGAAGTACCTGACTCCACTGTCTACCTGTTCTATTGTTTCAGTGAAGTACCTGAAGTACTGACTCACTGTCTGTACCACTGTCTACCTGTTCTATTGTTTCAGTGAAGTACCTGACCCACTGTCTACCTGTTCTATTGTTTCAGTGAAGTACCTGACTCTACTGTCTACCTGTTCTATTGTTTCAGTGAAGTACCTGACTCTGCTGTCTACCTGTTCTATTGTTTCAGTGAAGTACCTGACTCTACTGTCTACCTGTTCTATTGTTTCAGTGAAGTACCTGACCCCACTGTCTACCTGTTCTATTGTTTCAGTGAAGCCTGACTCTGCTGTCTACCTGTTCTATTGTTTCAGTGAAGTGCCTGACTCTACTGTCTACCTGTTCTATTGTTTCAGTGGAAGTTACCTGACTCCACTGTCTACCTGTTCTATTGTTTCAGTGAAGAAGTGCCTGACTCCAGTCTGCCTATTGACTACCTGACTCTACTGTCTACCTGTTCTATTGTTTCAGTGAAGTGACTCTACCTGACCTGTTCTATTGTTTCAGTGTTCACCTGAAGGACTGACTGTTCTATTGTTTCAGTGTTTCAAGTACCTGACCCCACTGTCTACCTGTTCTATTGTTTCAGTGAAGTACCTGACTGACTCTACTGTCTACCTGTTCTATTGTTTCAGTGAAGTACCTGACCCTGTCACTGTCTACCTGTTCTATTGTTTCAGTGAAGTACCTGACTCCACTGTCTACCTGTTCTATTGTTTCAGTGAAGTACCTGACTCCACTGTCTACCTGTTCTATTGTTTCAGTGAAGTACCTGACTCTGCTGTCTACCTGTTCTATTGTTTCAGTGAAGTACCTGACCCCACTGTCTACCTGTTCTATTGTTTCAGTGAAGTACCTGACTCCACTGTCTACCTGTTCTATTGTTTCAGTGAAGTACCTGACTCCACTGTCTACCTGTTCTATTGTTTCAGTGAAGTACCTGACTCCACTGTCTACCTGTTCTATTGTTTCAGTGAAGTACCTGACTCTGCTGTCGCGTGTGATGCTGGTTCTGATCAAAAGAAACCATGCTGAGAACTCAAATGAGAATCACAATGAAAGCACTGCCAGCTCTGCCAATGACAGTAATGCCAACATCACCAATTCCACTAATGTCACCAGAGATGACAGCAGTAATCAAAACACTGTATGTATTGTCATTATTGTAACAGTTTAGTCACAAGAACACTCATTAAGATTCACAAAACCCACCTGGTCACTCACTCACCCATTCAATTCCCGCTTATGATGTGAAACAGATTTTTTACATGAATTACACCTCTTGTAATACTCTTGATAAAATGTGTTCATTTACAAGGGTTCTCATGTAAAAGCCAAAGCCTGATATTGAGTCATAATTGTGATCTTGAGGCAGAATGTATTGTGTGTTTTATCATAGAATCTTTGTATGTCTACAGGTCTCTTCTATCAAAAAAGAACTTTCAGTCTAAAAATATTAACCCTGAACAATGATACATAAACCTTATATCCATACTTTTATGCAATAACCAAATGTTGATACTAATCGCAAGATAGTTTAGACAAACTGTCGAGGCTGATGTGTTTTGATTGAAATGTTCAACTTTGCAGCCTTTCAAATTCATGCTAATCCGCTAGCCTTAACTGTTAAACTGTGCTGTGTGAAAAAACCCAAAGCATTTGAGAGCTGTTAAACAGAACCAGTTCTTTGAACGCTTAAAGGTTCAATGTGCTGATAGACTGGAACCTAATAAAACCAGCCGAATGTCCCAGATACTGTGAATGTGTTATGATTCCAGGAGGCAGGAAGTGATGACGATGAAGAGCAAGAGCTGAGCCTGAAGAACTCGGAGATCATGATGGGTCTCATAGAGGCCATGTACCTCATGTGGGATGCCATCTCTAAACAGTTACACACGGTCAGTTTTAATATCAGTGGTTGCATTTGGAAGATCATAAACATTTATGTTATATGTTCTGATAAATACACTGGAAATTATGTAAAGTTGTTAATTGATATTTTCTCTCTAATTTCAGGACGTGCACAATGTCTTTTGTAACAAAATGTCTAGGGAAGTTTGTAATTTGTTTTCTATCGACCTGTATGCATACAGCTTGTGAATGTGTTTACTCAAAATACAAGCAATGTTTAACCTTAAAGTACTTATAACTCTGTTTATTAAAGTAGTCATTAGCTAAGAACATTCTAGTTTAAAGTTGTTTTGTGTGAGCCTTGTGTTTCCCCAAACCTGAAGTGATGTCTTTAAACTTAAACAATTCTGAGTAAAGTTGTAAGAGCTATAAAACATTCTGTATTAAAATTTTCCTGCATCAGACATGTTTGACAGAAGCAGACTTGACATTTTCATACTGGTAAATACTTAAGAACAGAGTTGTTCAATCTCCTGTTTAAATCTTGACATATACAATATATATCTTGATATAATATTGTTAGAACTGTAAAGCATGCCAGATGACCTCAGCCTGGGAGCTCCATGTCCTTGCCTTGTAAAGCAGGGATTCCCCTATAGTATAAACCCAAATAATAGATGGACTCTTTTTAACAGACAGATCCAGTAATTATCAGTATCTACAGCCTTGTTGATAGATAGACCCCAGAAAACATGTGGACCCCAGTAAATAGATGAAGCATTGTAATGGATAGACCTCAGTAATTATATAGACCCTTGTTGTTACATAGGCCCTAGTAAATAGATAGACCCTTCTTAATAGATACACCCCAGTAAATAGATAGACCCTTCTTAACAGATACACCCCAGTAAATAGATAGACCCTTCTTAATAGATACACCCCAGTAAATAGATAGACCCTTCTTAACAGATACACCCCTTAAATGGATAGACCATTCTCAATAGATATATCCTAGTAATAGATAGACCCTCTTAACAGATACGCTCCAATAAATGGATAGACCCTTCTTGATAAATACACACCAGTAAATAGATAGAAACCAGAAATAGATTTGTTTGCTTTTATTGATGTATAAACATAAAAACATGCACATTAAGTGCATCACATGTAGTTTGGGTGCTAATTACATACCAAACTCTTTTTTTCATGTTTTTTTGCTGAATAAGTAAGTGAAAATGATGTATTTTTACTAATATTTTTATAGCCTCAACATACTGACGTTCGACATGAGTTGCAGAAACGGTACAGTGTGATCATTCCACAGATGCTACGTATATTCCAGGTAAGCTGCATCTCCAGAGTTCCAAATTCCTTGTCCTTTTTGCCATTTGCATGCCTATAAAAAATGGCAACAACACCATTTGTCAGTGGGGTAGACTAACGGTTAAAGCATTCCTCGTCACCATGAAGACCTAGGTTTGATTCCCCACATGGGTACAATGTGTAAATCCCATTTCTGGGGTTCCTCGCTGTGATATTGCTGGAATATTGCTTAAAGCAGCATAAAATCATGCTCACTCACTTTAAGATTTGACAATACCATACCTGTGTGCATGGGTTTTACCAAAGAGGTAAATGTCTAAGACCTCTGTATAACTGAAATGTTATGTTAAAACAGGCATTAACCCCATCTTCCTCACTCACTCAGACAGACCTGGTGCATATTTTCCAGGAACCAAGAGCCTATGCTGCTATCATGCTGTTATCTGGCTTTTTGCCATCGACAAGAGTTCCTGTATTAAGGTAGGCGGTGTTATGGACAAACAAATTTGTCCACAAATTTCACTCACTCACTCACTCACTTCTAGAAATGGATGACATTGAAATGATCTGATGCTATTATTTACAGTATCACAACTCACTTACTTAAAAGTGTGTGTTGACAAGAAGTGGAACTGATCAGTGTAGATGCACTGCAGTCAATGTTATCGACAAACATATTTGTCCATTTAAACTTATAGAATTGATGACATTGAAATGATCCTGTGCCATTATTTACAGTGATAGCTGCATGTCGAAGCTGCGTAACATGACAGCGGACACACACATGGGCGTAGCACACCTGCAGAACTTCATCGGCACTCTGTGTAAATGGCGTTTCAGTAATGCCTTGCTGGAGATGATCGCAACTTCTGTCGAGGCAGGCCTCGAGGAAAAGACCATTGCAGAGTATAAGCCCGGTGGATCTACCGTTGTAAGTGACTCTAATCCAGCAGCTAAGAAACCATATGTAAAATCTACAGAAATGATAGCTTATTTCCAATAAATAGCTTTCAATATGGTTTCTGAAAACTGAATTTGAAACTTGAAAAATGCATATGTTATCATTGGTTGGAACAAATTTGTTTTTCTGAGAATTTGTTTATAATGAAAGAGAATACTAGAGCATGGCCAAAATGCAATAATTATAAAAATTGCGAAAACTAATTTTAGCTAGCCATTCCTACCTACAACAGAAATAATCCACTTACTTACATGCCCATTTTTATTTACATGAAAATAAATTTGTGAAAATCCATCTTTACCTGAATTTTCTGGGTTTTTTTAATATATGACCCATTTGATTCTGCCCAACAGAAAAAGAAGGCTGGTGCCAAATGTGTTATGCTGAAAGAGACTATCAAGCCTGAACCTCCAATAGCTCTGGAATACCTGGAGATCCTGCTGGAGAAGGACCTGTGTCGAGAGGTTATACTTGTGGACCATCTTGATGCCTTGACACAGACCATGGAGGCTCTGGGACACAGTGTGGTATGTTAACACATGTCATGTCATATCATCTTACCTTCATGTAAAATACTTCAATTTCATTGGTCAATGACACTTAAACAAGTTTCCGTGTCACCCCTCCCAGGAGGGTGACAACTGGTAAAATTATTACCCGCTGCCACGGTAACTGCCAAGCTCTCCGCCGAGAAGATGTTTTGCTAACAATCGTATGACGTCATAATATGACGCCTACTGGCTTGGGTGAAACTGCTACAAAGCAGCGTACATCAGACCATATATTCGAGAGAAGCATACAACTTATATTGTCGTGTGTTTGGGTAGTTTTGGCATGATGGAGTGTGGTACATATAGACTGTTCAAAGTAGTAATGTTGTGTTGTAGTTTCACCACGATAGAGCATGGCACATTTAGACTGTTGCAAGTGGTTATATCACGTTTTCGGACAGTGTGGTATTCTATATGGTGGGAGTGAGCAATATCCCAGCTTTATGGCAGTGGTCAGTAAATAATCGAGTCTGGACGAGACAGCATCCAGTGGTCAACAGCATGAGCATGGTTCATGCTCAAAGTAGTAATGTCACTACAAAGTAGTAATGTCATGTGTTGTAGTTTCACCCGACGATAGAGCATGGCACATTTAGACTGTTGCAACTTGTGGTCAACAGCATGAGCATGGACCTATGCAATTTAGATCACGATGACATGTGTCAACCCTGTCAGCGAACCGGATCACCGATCCTGTTAGTTGCCTCTTACGACAAGGGTGGGTTGCTGTAGATCAATTGTAACCCAGATCTTCATTGGTCGGTACTCTCTGTGGCCTGAAGAAGGCACACTGTTGAATCTATACCTGGATTTTGGCTACCATTGTGTATCTGAAAATATACACATTTTCACCAGCAGTGTCAAAAGTTAAATTCTATACCAAATCATTGTTACATTTTGATGCATGAATAGGGAATACATTGACATGAAATATTTTGGGAAAAAACATCCAAAATATATGCTTGTTTTGTTCTGCAGGAGATTTTGAAAGCAATGAACAGTGCCGAGTCAGAAACCAGTCCCACTAATATAGACTTTGTTCTGAAGACGTTCTTCCTGTATCTCCTCGAGTGTCCCTCTTGCTACATAAACAGGTAATGTATCTCATGTGTATTTGGTTTCAACTTGTGGAATTTTTAGGTGTCATGTTTACTATCTTTTCAAGTTTTTCCTTCTCTCAGGATAAGAGTGTGATTATGTTTGAGTTATTGAGTTCAGAGGCAAAATAAGTAAATAGTTCAATCTGATCTATGAATTAACAAATTTAAATCGTGATCCTAAGTGAAGTGTCATTGTTGTCTCATGCTCACACTATTAACCACGGGTTTTGTTTGACCCGAGATGTCTATGTAATGTTGGTCACACTAAGGATCAAGACTTCAAGTATTGTTTCCCCGGCTTGGAAACTGGTGTCATGGAAGGTTTCACACAATATGGATCAGCACTCAGATCTTTTAACAATGGCATATTTTGTTTCTCCAGGAAGAAACTGATCCTAAGCCACAATTCACTGACCTACTGACCTGGGCTCAGGAGGAACTGGTGCCTCAGTTGCAACAACAGGGCAAAAGGTCACGGAAAGACGGGGAACTGGCCTTTAAAACTCTTCAGGTAATCATGGAAAGTCATGGACTTTGAGCTTTACTGGCCTCAGGTGTCTTTCAACCACACATTTATGAGAGAGAAAAATCCCAATGAATTGTTCTGACATATGTTGAATCTCCATGAGGTTAAGGTCACTAGAGGTCAAAGTTATTGCTTCTTTAGAATTGTTCCGTGTTGTTAGTATCTAAGCATGTCTACACAAAAAAAAATCTTTTCACTTGAATCTCTGATTATGGGTTCCTGGTTCAGTTAGCACCATGCCTGTGGGTTCCATCAGTTGTCTTAAGTCTGTGTTTGAGTATAGAGGGGCGGTGGGGTAGCCTAGTGGTTAAAGCTTTGGCTCCTAACATCAATTTCTCCACATGGGTACAATGTGAAGCCCATTTCTGGTGTCCCCGTCATGATATTGCTGGAATATTGCTAAAAACAGAAAAACTAAAACTCACTCACTCACTAGAGTATAGGAGTTATTATCATCGTTAGCACTAAGATTGCTTTTTGCAAGTGGGCCCTGCTCAGTTGGGGCCACATCAACATCTTGATGTCATAATATGACTGATTCTATGATAATGTTCTCTTACAGATTATTCTGAAGAAGATGAGCTGGCACCTGATGATGGTTGGATCTGCTGACAAGGACTTCACCTCTAAGGCCACTAAACTGTGTATATCTTGTCTGGAAGAAGGTTAGTCAATAAACTTATCACAACAATAAATCTCAGTTTCTCCCTGTTGGTAACTGGGGTATAAAGTGTCCTAGCACCTATGCTCAGGATTCGTGACTATTTGGTGATGTGTTTTTGTTTGTTTGTTGTTTAATGCCACATGCAGCAATGTTCCAGCAGTATGATGTAAATAATCGAGTCTGGACCCTGACAATCTAGTGACTGACATCAAGAGCATTGTTGAATGTGGTGTTTAAGAAAAAACAAGCAATACCTGGTAACAGCTATTTATATGAATGGACTAGACTACCTCAGACACTTAAGGCAATAAGGCTAAAATGTCTACAATAGACATGTATGAAACATGTAAGATCTGTCACTGTCACATGATTTGGTTGGTTTCTTGTTTTACACACTCAGCAATATTGCAGCTATATGGCGGCGGTCTGTAAATAATCAAGTCTGGACCAGACAATCCGTGTTCGACAGCTTCCGTAATTGGGATACGATGACATGTGTCAACCAAGTCAGCAAGCCTGATCCCGTTACTTAACGACAAACATTGGTTACTGAAGACCAAATTTTTAACTTACCTTACCATAGGTCTTATGCATATTACCTCAAGCTCCGGCTTAAAGAGATCAGACAGTCGTTGATTCAGCCATTCTGTAGAACGGCCACCTGGAGTGTATCGACGAAAGTGTACAGGCAACGGAAGTGACGTGATCTCCCCTCCCGCGCAAGCGCGGTCCATCCAAAATCACTTTTACTTCAAGCGTCTTGCTGGTCAGACGCTTTTTGTTCCGGCTAAGTTTCAGACACTTACTAATAGATTTCAGATATTAAAGTTATTGGTATGTATGTTTTCTATCTTATGTCTCTTCTCTGTGGGTGAAGAACATAATTTACAAAGCAACTTCACTTACCTGGCTACCTGCGTGTTTATGTTTTCACTTCGGCTTGGGTGTGTCCCCATCGCCCGAAGTTTTTCCACGTGCATGTTTGGGTGTTTTGATACCTCTAGGGTTCTTCCACCTTCTGTTTCATGCTTGTTTTGTGTACCTCCTTTTTCTTGCCTAATTTGTGTGTTTTTTCACGCTTTTCGGCTCAGTGTGGGGCAGCCATCTTGGTTGTTTACACGACTGTCCCACTTTACTTGGCGTGCCCATTCTTGTGGGAGGGTGCTTCCATTTTTCGCCTGCAGGGGTTGTTTCTAGGTTTTTACGTTTCACATTTGTGTGTTACAGCTTTTGGTGTGCATGACCCGGCAGTTTTGTTGCATCTGCAAGGTGCAGAAGTCTGCCAAGGACCCACACCCCTGGTGCCCAGACTGTCGCGACTGTTGCCTGTTCCATTGACGAAGCGCTGTCACTTTTGTACTCCGCTGTCCGTCGCACGAGATTTCAAGGCCTACCTCAGCTAAGAAGAAACGCTTGTCACAACGGAAGAGGAAAAATGTCTTCCCCTGTTTCTTCTGTGGACTCGGTCTTCTTCTCCCCAAATGCGCCCGGTCGGACGCTCTTCTCCTGTGATAGATCAGCCCGCCGTCCACCCCTGCGCCTCGCTTGCTGGCGCCTTTCGAAGCCAAAGCGTCGGGCCGGATCTTTGTTGACCTATCCCACCCGGACGCTTTGTCGCCATCCGAGGTTCAGAAGTTGCTTGGACGGCTCCTTTTGCCGGCAGCTGCGGGAGCCTAAGCTATCACCGTTCCAGCTGCGTTGCCTTTGTCCTGGCGTCGCCGGCGCCTGTGGCACTTGATTCTCCAGTTGCTGACTTGTTGCTTCAATAGCGTCGATGCCTACACCGGACGCCCATGCGGCAGCGCTGGCGCTTATGCTGGCGGCCGGCCCGACATCCATGCTGGCCGTGACGCCTGTGCGGCGCCAGCGCCAGCGCCTAACTCCGGCGCTTTGGCAGACTACCGTATCCCCAGGAGGGCTACAGGTGTCTAGAGAGGAGAACCCATAAGCGTCAGTTAATGGAAGAGCGTTCCCGACGTCAGGGCGCCGAGCATTCCCATCGTTCTCGACGACGATCTCGTTCCTCCAGGTCTCCCTCTCGGCAGTATCATCGGTCTAGGAGTCCCTGCCTCTTAGTTCGATAATTTCTTCGCCGGCCGCCGGTCTGGAAGCTCAAGGTCTGGCTCTCCCGTGACGTTCCAAGGATAGGAGAGCTCCACGGTCACCGATCGCGGGTAAAGCGATACCGTCGGGTCCCGCTCAAGGTCACCTCCTGTTCGCCGCCACGCCCATCAGCGCTCCGTTCCCGACAGTTACTTTGAGTGCTGCTTCTCAGTTGTTTGTCATCGGTCGCCCACCGAAGCCTGCTGCTTCGGTCAAGCGATTTTACTGCTCCACCGCGTGTCCTGGGAGGACACACTGAGGAGCCATTTTCTCTCCGGATTATAATGAGGAAATGCTGCAAGAAGGATATTAATGATGATGATGGGGGCACCTACCTCCCTCTCTGCTGTGTGTTCGACTGGATTGCCGACCAGACTGCCGGATTGTCCTTCTCCCTCTTCAGGTTCGGCCGACCGGGCTATTCGGCTCCTCTCGAGTTACTCCCTCCCGCCTCCACCCGATGGTGGCCGGCGTGCTGTGGCTTCTTTGACGGGCTCGATTTTGCTACTTTGTCTCTCAATACCACGATAAAGGCTCCACAAGTCAGTCAAAGGGATTACAAGATTCATAGTTTGATTTTGCCGATGGATGGCGCGGCTCATGACGAAGTCCCTCAAAGCTTATCGGCTTCCCTCGGTTTAGGCATCCTCTACCGAGTGCAGGACTCCAAGATGCTGGCCATTGATGCAGAACACCAAGCGGATGTTGAAGCCGGTATCGAAGCGTTGGCCTCGCAACTTCGGCTGCTGCTTGGGATCTGACGGAAGACAACACGTCAAGGTTAGAACATCTTACCACCCTGTTTCAATGGCAGGGCAAGGTGCTTGCATGATTTGCTGGCGCACCGGGCGGCTCTGGCCATGACAACGGCTGTTCGGGCGGATGGGTTTCCTGGAGCCCTGTTCTTGGCAGGAAGAGTTTAAAAGGAAACTGTTAAGAGCCCCTTTGCGCCTCGCTTTCCTCTTTAATGACGGCATTCGAGAGGTGTATAAGGAACACGCAGAGCTTACCAATACGGAGGTTTCTTTGTCACGCTCAAGCTTTGAGTTCGGCCTTCGTGGGCAGATCATCTGCAAGTAGGTAGAGGAAGCGCCGCTACGGCCCCGAGAAGAGACTCAGTCGTCACGCCTCTGGCAGAGGACGTGGCCGTGGCAGATCCAAAACCTGTTTTTCAGCGCCCGCCAGCAGGATCGCCCCGGGACCCCTTTCGGACGCCTCGGCAGGGGTAGGGAAGGCGCCTATACTTCGATGCGCTGAAGTTAGGCGACTAACACGACTGGGACCTCCCGCCCCAGTCGCCGCCGGGTTCGTCCCTACTCCAGTAGGCGGGGAGACTGGGGATCTTCTGGCCCAATTGGACAATCTTGGAAGACCCGCTTATCACCAACATTCTCTCAGGACCGGGGTTACAAAGCTGCCAATCGCCGCGGCCGCCTCTGACTTCAACGCCCCAGTCACGCAGGTGTGTATGCTCCAGACCAACAGTTACTGCTAGCAGACAGCATCCACACTCTGTTACGCAAACAAGCTATAGAGACAGTGCTAGACCCGACAGTCCCCGGGTTCTACTCACCAATCTTCCTGGTTCCCAAGAAGGACTCAGGGAAACTACGCGATGATTCACAAATGGCAGTTTTCAACCACCTTTATCTTCGGAACCGCCTCCACTTCCGCATGGTGTCCCTGGAACAGCTACGCAGCCAAGCTTCTTGCGTTTCAGGGTCTGGTTGGCCAGCCTCGACCTTCAGGATGCCTACCTGCATGTGCGCCCATTTACCACCGCCACAGAAAGTACCTGAGGTTCTTTTTCAACGGGTCCCACTACCAGTGGAAAGTGCTTCCATTTGGAATTTCCACGGCCCCGTGGCTTTTACCTCGATTACCTCGCCGATCACCCGTTCCTCCATCTCAGGGGCATCGACTTCGACCCTTATATAGACGACTGTCTCATGAACCACTTCGACTTCAGTTGCTTCGCAAAACAGATGCACTTTGCCATTCATCTCTTTGCAGCAACTGGGATGGATTATCAACATAGACAAATCCCACCTGGAGCCGCCCCAGGAACTGACGCTTATAGGAGGCCTCTTCCTGACACATTATGCGACCTTGTCAGGATTCCGCTTAGATCGCTGGAGAAAGATTGTCAGTTTCGCCAACCGAGGTCTATCCCAGCCGCCGTGCTCAGGGAGTGGCAGTCCTCTTAGGTCTCCTCAC